CTGTTTCTGTGACTTTCAGCATCTTCCTAAAAAGGAAACGAACTTCCTTCTAACTCCCAGGACAGGTGCAGTTAGATCTTAGCTGTGGCCAAGCCTGGACAAGGAGTCAGCATGTCTTCGGGGAACCTTTCCGGGACGTGTGCACTGATCCTAGGTTTGAACTCATGCATAAAAACGTTCGCTGCCAGGCTTTGATCTGACACCCTTCGGAAATGATGGGATGGTGATCTGCCAGTGGAGTTCAATGTCCTGGCCAAGTCTGCTGTCCTGAGGGACAGCCTCTAAGATTTGCTTTAAGAATATTCAATGCAGAACTGAAATTCAGCCCATACAGTGGAGAAATGGAAACTGAGAATTGCTTCCTCCTTTTGGTGCCTGTTTTTTGGGCCATTTTCCCCTTAGTTGGCAGGATGGCACTCAGCAAGTCATGCTGTTTTGATGGGGTTCAACTTTTTTAACGAAAAATAATTCAAGTTCAAGTACCATAAAATTTACCGCTTTGAAATGTACTGTTCAGTGGGATTTTTTTGTTTGTTTGTTTTTTGTTTTAGTATATTTACAAGATTGTGCAACCGTCGTCACTGGCTAGTTCCAGAACAGTGGGGTTAAATTTTGACTTGAATCTTTGAATGAAATATTAACCAAAGGTTAACTCTGATTTTTAGGAAATTTGCTCTAAAACTTTGGTCCCTTTTGCAAGGGAAGCTACAGTTTTTATTCAAGTATCATTTTTATAAAGCAAAATAGAAAAACAATCAGAGGACATTGATATTTTCTTATTCTTGTTGCCTAATATCTTTGCCAGCTACTGATGATTTTTAAATCTTTGGTCTTTAGGTAGGGGCTTCTTACCATGGCTATATATATATATATGTATATATATATATATGTGTATATATATATATATGTATATATATAAAGAATATTTTAAGCAAAAGCAATGAGACAGTCTTTCTTGTCTTTTCCTTCCTCTTGTCAAGTCACACTATTGAAGTGTGGACTTCAGTAGGACTTGGGCCTGTTTTGTCCTGTCATTATCACCTAGCACAGTGTCTGTCATACAGTAGAAGCTCAGTAAAGGTTTTCTGAACGAATGGGCTTGGCGAGGTGCCGAGGGGAGGTCATTTTTGGCATGTATCACTTCAGGTCATTCATGGTGACCTTTGTTTAGGCTTTCTGGATGGCCATTGATTTCATTTATAGCCCTGAGATACAGCTGCTTCTAGAAAGTGAGAACTTGACTTCTTCAGTGTAACTCTAAGGACAAAACCTAAGCCCATCCTCCCCAGCTTCCAGGAGCTCTTATCCCGCCATAAGCGGGATTTGCAAAGGCACCTTGGGTTGGTGTGGTGAGGCCCGGAGTGGGTGGTGTGAGTGTGCCTTTGTGTGTGTACATGTGTGCAGGTGCGTTCTGGGCTAAGCACATGATGGAACTGTGGGAAATCCCTCCACGTCTTTGTAAGCTGCCCCTTTCTTCCTTCTGCACTTGTAGTGCATTGGTGGGCCAGGGTGCAGAGGAGCCTCCATCCTGGGCACATGGCCCAGGCCTGCTGGCTTTCAGTGGCCCATTGTTTCCAGCCCCTCCTGTGCATGGACAGAGGCCCGGGGCTGGCACAGCTGCCTTCTTGGGGACCATTGTTTGTCTCTGAAGCAGCAGCAGCAGTACAAGCCTGAAGTAGCACACTTTGCCCTGGACAGAGCAGCCATTCTGTCTTGGAGCGGCAGGCCTGGAGAGGGGGTGATGGGAATCTCCCTTGAGTGCCTGTGCAGAGGTTCTTGAGGGTGGGGGCCAGGGCAGCGCCTTCTTCCAGGCAGGTTGTGGGGCAGGGGTGATGCTCAGCGATGTGGCATCACTAGTTGACCGCAGTGGCAGCTGGTATCTCTTAGCAGAGACTTTTCTTTTGCTGGATGGGGTGGGTACATCCCATTCTCACTTCCTTCAGAACTGCTCTGTAGAGGAGATCTAGGAAGTAGGAAGGAAGCCAGTCTGGTCGTGGACTAGTCAAAACATGGGCTAGATAGTGAATCACTGGGCTATTGCAAACTTGATTCTGGGGGCCTGAGTCACCGCTGCAGCTGGAAGGTAGAGAAGTGGACGTTCCAGATTTTGGAGCTAAAGAAACTGTGATGTCCCCCCGAAAATGCTGCGGAGACTTCAGACTCTTGTTGGTTTCTCCTGTTTCCCGTCCCCACTGTCAACCTCTTTGACAAGTCAAGGCAAACCTTAATTTGGCTTCAGCACCATTTGCCCCTAATTGTATGACCCTCTGGTAAGTTACTTAACAAATCATACTTCAGTTTTCTCATCTTTCGATCAGGATAATTGGAGATATCAATTATGGACTAGTAATAAAGATTAAATAAAATGATGTGAATAGAAGGCCCATCAGAGATGTTCAGCAAACACGTGCTTCTTTTCCTGCAGGGGCCCAGAGGGGATGCCTGAGGGTGGGGTGCACTTTGGGTAATGCTGCCCACTTGTTGAGGCTCCTGAGGAAGTCAGGGTGGAATTCCATGCTGGCTGGATGCATGTGGGGGCTTCCTAGATTCATTCACACATCTTAAAGACCTCCAGTGAAGTGCTTGTTCCTCAAACAGGACAACCCTGGAGCAGTCTACCTCTGGAACTTCATGGGCATTGTGGGAATTTGCTTAGCCTTCTCTTTTCAACAGAGGTGGGCAGCATCCATCTTACCATGCTCCCCTTTCTGCTCCCCTTGTTAGGAACTTTATTGAGGCAATGTTGTAAAGAATTACAAGGGCTCAGGGAAGCTGACAGCCCCCCTTGTCTAGCCACATCCTCTTGCACATGTTACTGATTGGGTACCTGGAAAGCCTTTTTACCCTAAGATGCTCTGATTCTTATTATTTAATGGACAAGTTGTGAGTAATATCAGTGAGCATAGTGAATATCCTTTCTGCTCACAGTCTGCCCACCCAGTGGCTTCTACTGCCAGCTGCTACTTCTATCTGTCAAAGACAGAAAAGGGACAGAAGCCTCAAGGAATAGTCTCAACAAGAGCTGCTGCCTTTTTTAAGAGACCCAGAAAACCCTGGCAAGAACCAGTACATGACATGCCCTCTGCAGATCATTCCCCTTCAACATTCTTGTAATCAGACTCCAAAAAAAACACAGAACAAGAGAGCTTTGATGAGTGATGAGGTAGGCAGCTTTTCTGTGCAGCCTTCTGTCTGCTTGAAACAATCCTCCGGTGCTCAATTTCAGTTCAGGTGAGGTTACTGCAGGCCTGTTTGGCATTGGTGGTTGGCACGAGGAAGGCAGAGGGACAAAGAGGGTGAAAACTACAGTCATCACCCATAAAGGACCAGAGACTTGTGATACATCTGATATCTGTAAAAACAAACAAAAATGAAGATGGGGATGGATGGTGGACCTGTAGCTACTCCAAGGCGAAGCCAAATGCACCATTTGCCCATCCCTTATTGCTTCATAAAAGGAGTGGTTGGCAGGCTTTTCAACATCATAGCTTCATTCCTGGATTTGCCTCCCGTTTATCTACAGCTGAGATGAAAACTCGGATTCTGCATGCCCACCCCCTGCTTTACAGAGCATGGTCTGAAAGCAGCGTTACAACTCCACTATTGGGGAATGAATTTGGAACGTGCAGAAGGAAAGGCATAATAGTGCAGGTGCTCTTTTTCCCTGGGGTTGGAGTCACTGTCACAGCCTAAGCTGTTGGGACTGAGCAGGCTTGCAGGGTCGGGGGCTGGGGAGGAAAGGGATGAAAGAAGTGACTCCACTATGACTCAGACGGGGATGGGAGCATAACTTCAGCAAGATGTGCGCTGCAGGCCTTGCAGTCTGACTTTGGCAAGCTGCCTCCTGCGGGCGTCAGGTCTTGTCAGTAACAAATGCAGTATTGCATTTGAGGCAGATCTGGTTGAATCTGGAGCTGCCATTGCTGGAGTTTCAGAGAACGTTTGCTAGCCCTGTATGTGGATTCTGGCCAGCCAGAAAGCTGCCAAGCTAGAGCTTAACCAGAAATAGTTCTAGCTTTGACACAATGGAGGCTCTGAGCATTGGTGAGGAGGAAGGATCAGAGATATGAGTAACATTTAGTGAAAATACCAACTTCTTAAAGATTGATTACGTTCATTGGTATTGGAAACTATGGAATCTGACTGATGGTGAATGGTTTGCTTGCCCAGAGATCTAGGTACTTGTTTCATTCTTGATTGCCACTATTTATTCTTGGGCAGGGCCCTTCCTATCTCCTTTAAAATACCTTAAGCCCCCCTCCCCTACTTCATGAAGATATGGAAAAACAGTTTGAAATAATGGGAGAAAGTATGAAAAGTAGGAGTTTGGGCTTTATAGTCGAGCTGTTTGAGTTTGAATCCTGGCTCTACCACTTAATAGCTTAACTTCTTTAAGAGTTAGTTTTTCCGTCTTTAAAATAGGGATGAAAGTAGTCCTGACCTAATAGGATGCTTGGAAGATAATTCATTCGGCTCTCTGCAAGAAGGAAGCCCACATTCTGACGCTGTGTCTGAAATATGGTAAATTGCTTATTAAATGGTAGCTCTGAATATTATTATGTCTGATAAGCAGTTTTTCTTAACTGATTTAGCAGATTCTTGGTTTCAGTGTTCTTTAAGGGTTTGAAAAGTTGGTGAGTTGGTGGTGGTGGTGCCTCACATCACATTTTTTTTTTTTTTAATTTTTAATCACAACCATAGTGTATCTTTTTTTTTTTTTTTACATGTATTCCCCATCCCGGTCCCCCCTCCCACCTCCCTCTCCACCCAATCCCTCTGGGTCTTCCCAGTGCACCAGGCCCGAGCACTTGTCTCATGCACCCAACCTGGGCTGGTGAACTGTTTCACCCTAGATAATATACGCTCACATCACATTTTAAAAAGTAAAGCCTTTAAGTTCCCCAGAACACAGGGAACACCTAGATGGAAGGGGTGAATGCTGGCATTATGGTCTTTTCCAGAAGTGTCTGTCTGACTGCCTCACCTTGCTTTTGTTGCAGAGATCCGTGCTCAACTCACAGAGCAGATGAAATGTCTAGACCAGCAGTGTGAGCTCCGGGTACAGCTGTTGCAGGACCTCCAGGACTTCTTCCGTAAGAAGGCTGAGATCGAGATGGACTACTCCCGCAACCTGGAGAAGCTGGCAGAGCGCTTCCTGGCCAAGACGAGGAGCACCAAGGACCAGCAGTTCAAGTAGGGATGCCGCGCGGTTACTTCTAGAGACCTTGGGAGTGGGGTGTGTGTGGGAGGGAGGCAGGGTGTGCCGCCTCCATCCCATTGTTATCATGAAGTAGGTGACCTACTGATTTCTAATTGCCTGAGGGTTGAGAGCCCTCCAGAACTTCATTTCCAGATCAGTCTTATGTGCAGTTCAACATTGTGGAGCGATCAGAGTAGATCATGAACCATGCTTATAATAACAGCAAACACCTTCCCGTGTGCCGAGCTTAGTTCCAAAGGGCTTAACTCAATCTTCACAACTCCATATGTTAGTTTTTGTTATATCCCCAACATATAGATGAGGAAACTGGGTCATAAAGAGTTCAAAGCCCGTGGCCTCTTATGTGTGTGGCACACACACACACTCACACACTCCTAATAAATAAATGGCAAAACTGGAATCCAGACCCAGGCAATCTGGCTCTATAGAGTTTGTGTGCTTTACCATTTCACTGAACTGTCTTTAACTGGAAGAGATGGATGTAGCCATAAATCTAAGCCGCTGTGCAGACAGTTGCTAAGGTCTGTTCCTTCTACATTTACAGTATTTAATACAACTGGCCCTTTCACTCTGTTCTCCCTACCATTGCCCTAGTTTAGATCATCTTCATCTTTGCCTGACTGATTGCAGTACTTACTGTATCATCTTTAGCAGAGGTTCTCAATCCTGGCTGCACATTAGAATTCCCTGGAGAACTTTTTAAAAATGCTGAAACTGGGCCGCATTCCAGATCAATTAAATCAGAATCTCTGGGAGTAAGACCTGGGTAACAGTGTGGTGTAAAAGCTTCCCAGATGATTCTAACGAACAGCTTCTCCCCATCCCGATCTGCCTGATCCCCTGTTACCAGATTTAGTCTTCCTGGAACACCCTGGGGGGTCAGGCAGTTTCTCTGTGCTGTGGCTCCCGGAGGTCTGTGTTCTTGATGCTCAAGATGTGGTCCCTCAAGATTGGCACTGCCTAGGGGTTGGCGATTCAGAGTCTTGGGCCCCACCCCCAGACCTGCTGTAACTAGAGCCCCAGGTGATTGGTGCACAGGATTAAGTTTGTGAAGTCCTGTCCTATTCACAAAGGTGTACACTCCTTGGCTTGGTCTTCAAGCCTGTCTGCATCTGGCCCGACTAGCTTTCCAACTTTATTTCCTGTTTCTGCTCTGCTATTCCACAGCCAAACAGAACACTAACTCCACTGGGTCTTTGCACATCCTGTGATTTGAACTTACGTGTCCGTTTGTTACATCTCTGTGTGTCGAAGCCATACCCATGTTTTAAGACCTCATGCAGATGGGACTTGTTTCTAGAAGCTTTCTGGATTCTCCCAGAAGGAAGAATGTTCTACCTCTTCTAAATTCTTACAGCATTGTTTTTGTTGTTCTTCCATTAGGGCATTCAGAACTATCTATCTTACACTGTCTTCCCGTAGTGGACTTGTGTAAGCTTTTCTGACTCATCGTTTAGCTTCCCACAAGGCCTAGTGTGATATAGGACCCATGCCTACTAAATATTATTGGAGGAATAAATGAATGAGTGAATTTAAGAATTAATGCCAAATATATCGTATTTCCCTCTCTTTTCTATTTTTGTTTATCGCCCTGACAATTTGGGACACAATTTATTCTTTACAAGCCAGTTCTGCGCAATGAATATGGAGTCTAAGAATAAGGAGAACATATGACACTTTCAATACAAGCCAGAATGAGAATTTCCTCCAGATGTTTTATCTTCAAAATCCCTTATCTTTTCCAAGTCCTGTTCTCTTTATGATAAGCAGTCCTGTGAGAATAAAATGTTATTTTAGTATATGATAAATGAAGGATTGTTTGCTTTAGAAAAATGATTCAAGTTTGGATTTATTCTCTTGATAACTCCTCCTAAGTTTAAAGTAGCCTGATTTTTAGTACTATATTATATTCTTAGCTTAAGGACACATTTACTAGAAATTAAGGTACAGATGTGCTGAACTGCTCTGATTAAGATCACATACAAGAAATAGGGTTTTTTCCTCCAAGGCTGGGAAGATTGATTTCCCTTCTGATAAAGCTGGTACCGGGCTTCATTTTTCCCAAATAATCAGTGAATATTTCTTGAGAGCCAGCTATGTGCTCTGTGTTGTACAAGTATTGGAAGATGTAAAACAGGTTGATTGTATGTTTCCATAGGGTGCCATATCTGGTTGGGGAGAAAAGATTTTTAATATAGGAAGCAATTAGAGATAAAGCAATAATGTTCTCATTAAGAGATCATTGGCTATATGTAGGATATAGATGTGATAAGAGGTCAGTGATAAATCATGAGAGACAGATAAAGGATCTGGAATAATCAGGAGCACACTCATGAAATGAGTGGGATTTAGGTTAGTCTTTAGAGGTAGATTTGTGTAGGAGAAAATAGCACATTCAGGAAAGAAGAGGCAGGTGTGTTCCGTGGTGAGAGGCTAAAGGGCGAGTGAGGGATGGATCCCGGAGCTTCCTTAAAAGGAGGCTTGAATGCATTCATCCAACAAATGTCTGTTGCACATTCCTTGAGCTCCTTCAGAGTAGACTCTGTACCTTGGGATATAACAATGAACAAGTACCGTCCTCCACTTGGCACTTTTAATAGAATAAGGAAACAGGCAGTGAACACATCACACAGTTAGATGAGTTGAGGTAGGTGTTGCGGAACAAAAGGACAAAGGGCTCCAAGCGCTTGTCGAGGGGGCTTTGCCACTGCTTTGCTGTCACTTTATGGCTAGGTTACTTTAATAGCTTCCTGTCGGAAGTTATCCTGAGGAGCCATCTACTTATTCAACAGACCCCTTTGAAATGCCTGCCGGGTACTGTGTTTGGTGCTGATTCCTTTGGAGACCGAGATAAGCTCTGGAATCTTGGCTAACAGGGAAAAGAGACATGTAAACAATATAATGTAAAAAGGGCTTTAACAGAGGTTATAAGCAAAATTTTATGAGAACACATATTTTCCAAAGCAGTGGAAAATTAAGTTTAAGTAAGTAGACACCAAATAATTTAACAGACAAGCGGGGGAGTTAAGATTTGATGCAGAGCATGGTAGTGAGCCCTCTGGGTTCTTCTGTGGGAAAGGAGACATGAAGAAAAATGGTAGAAGAATGAATGAGTTTTTATGGCAGAGAAGGCCAAGATGGAGGTTTGGGGGAATAATCCATGCACAGTGTGAGAGCAAGCAAGATTAGAGAAGAAGGAATCTATTCAAGTACTTGAGAAACTTAAGAGGACTGGGTGACTGATTGGGTAAAGAACTATAGCCATCAAAGGTGACCCAGTGTCTCTAATATGGTGACCTGGAAGAATTGGTCTTCCACATTAGGGGAGACCTTTTGAATGGTGAGCCTACTCTGAGCATGTCGGGTTTGGGGCAGTAGGAAGCCTGTCTGGTAGAGATGTACTACTCAGGTAAGAGGTTTTGACTAGGAATAGAGAGCAAACACTGAGATATAAAAGTGATCATGGAAGATATGCAATTATATGAACCCAGGGAAGAGAAAGAGAGGAACACAGAGCTCAACCCAGGACCCAAGTCTTGCTGCTTCTGCTACGAAGTCGCTTCAGTCGTGTCCGACCCCGTGTGACCCCATAGACAGCAGCCCACCAGGCTCTGCTGTCCCTGGGATTCTCCAGGCAAGAACATTGGAGTGGGTTGCCATCTCCTTCTCCAATGCATGAAAGTGAAAAGTGAAAGTGAAGTTGCTCAGTCGTGTCTGACTCGTTGAGACCCCATGGACTGCAGCCTACGAGGTTCCTCCATCCATGGGATTTTCCAGGCAAGAGTACTGGAGTGGGGTGCCATTGCCTTCTCCGGGACCCAAGGCTTGGGCATACCCAATTTTAGGGAGTAGTAAATGTTAATTATTAGAAGTAAAAGTTACCGGAGAGGATGCGGGAGAGAAGGAGGAAGGAAATGAAGGAAGGGGAGAGAGTGGTGTTTTTTTAACATTTAAAAGGACGGCAAGGATGTAGGTATGTCTAATGAAACTAGCAGGCTTAATCAAGTAGAAAATCTGTAAAAGTCAATCCCAGCAATTTCTTATTGATATTCTCCCATTATAAGCATTGTGAGGCAAAGATGACTAAAATGAGCCCCAAACCCAAGAACTTTCCATCTATTAGAGTGAAACATGAAATTGCTGATTTTTGCAAGACACAAAAGGTCACAAAGTGGCCAATGCGTGTGGTCTAGCCTAATAGAAGAGGCGATGAGACACACACAGATGCATATGACACAGGCAAGATGGTGAGAAGCTCAGTCAGGGAGTCCAGGCAACATCGTTTCATGCATAATTTACTCCTAAAAATGAGCAGGAGCCTTCCATGGAGAAGAGGGTTTCTATTTCTGTAAGTATACTTGTGAAATCCCGAGTTACACCTCACCCGATGACCCAGAGCCTTTTGTGCTGTGTCTCTCATTGTCTTCTTTTTGCCCCAGTTGAACACATGGCAACTGCTTGAAGCCGTTGAACCTGCTTAAATACGGGGAGCATTTGAGGAAACTTGATGGCTGGTGATCTCTAGCCTTTTCTTGTTCGTTCAGTGATGAGACTCTACTTCTCAGTGTAACGCTGGTGGCAGCGCCTGCATTTTTCCACTCTCCACTCATCTCTGCTTTGTAAAACGGAGCCAGGTATTAGGATGTTTGCATGTACAAGCATTGCTGTAGAAAGACAACCTTGCTGCTGAAACTAAGCTCGCTCTTGGCAGGCAGCACCACTAGACCACGCTTGAGACATTTGTTAGCAACTGAAACTTGGCATTTTGGGCTCAGGAAAGGCTTTTTAGGTATATCCGTTTTGGTTAAGGTATAAGTTTAGCAGCTCTAATAGACCCAAGTAATAGTATCTTTCATAAGCAGAGCTTGATTTTTCTCTCCTGTCATTATCTGGTCATTAGCTATCCTGGGCAGTGTTGGGACCCTTATTCCATCCCTAGAGTGTTGCGCTGGTTCTTTATGACCCGAGATGG